AATCCTGGGAGGAGGCAGATACAGGTGACTCTGCTACCACTGGCACCCTGTCCCCGCTCCCCAGACTCCACTCCCGTGTCCCCAGCTACAGAACTCTGTCCCCACTCCCTGAACTCTGTCCCCATTCCCGTCCCCTCTCCCCGAACTCTGTCCCCACTGGCATCCTGTCCCCTACTGCAGAACCCTGTCCTCTGCCCTCCCAGCTCCCTGTTCCCTCTCCTCTGCCCCCAGTCGCAGAACTCTGTCCCCACAAAAAAAATCGATTGTGGGCCACAGAAAGCCCCATAATGGGGGAGGCATAGAGGCTTAGGGCTCCATAAACTTAATTTGCCTGGAGAGGATTATATTGGCAGGGGGGGGGGTGCTCATGTGAGTAGCTTTTTCCACACCTCTGAGTGATGCAGTTCTACCAATACTGTAGATGTCTGTAGCGTAAACTAGACCTGAGCCTGTGTTGTAAAGTATTCTGTATATTAGACCAGTGATTCTCAACCAGCGGTATGAGTACCCTTAGGGATACTTGAGAGAAGTCTAGGAGGGAGGAAGGGGGAAAAGGATTCATCAAAACTGAATTTTTGTTTTAAGTTTTACAAGGCTTTATTATTTTTGTACTTTTTACACTCAAAAATTTCATCGCCTACCCAGCTACCATTAAGTTGTTTGAACAAATGTGTTGCAAGGGTAGAAAAACATTGTGGCTGTGTCTAGACTGGCCAGTTTTTCCAGAAAATCAGCCGCTTTTCCGGAAAAACGTACCAGCTGTCTACACTGGGCGCTTGAATTTCCACGAAAGAACTGACTTCCTACTGTAAGAAATCAGTGCTTTTTGCGGAAATACTATGCTGCTCCTGTTCGGGCAAAAGTCCCTTTTGCGCAAAAGGGCCAGTGTAGACAGCACAGATTTGTTTTGCGCAAAAAAGCCCCGATCGCTAAAATGGCGATTGGGGCTTTTTTGCGGAAAAGCGCGTCTAGATTGGCCACAGACGCTTTTCCGCAAAAAGTGCTTTTGCGGAAAAGCGTCTGTGCCAATCTAGACGCTCTTTTCCGAAAATGCTTTTAACGGAAAACTTTTCCGTTTCCAGAAAACCATGCCAATCTAGACGTAGCCTGTGTGTGTCTGAAAACTGTACGTACTGGGGGCACATATATATATTTAAAGGGAGTTTTTTTTTTCAAAGGGGGTACTTTATAAACAAAAAGGATGACAAAAACTGTATTAGACAACACTTGTGTTGGGCTGGGACACAGAAGTGAAGTGTACTGGCCCCTTCCAACCCCCCCCCCCCGCCGTTTCTATTTTAATGGTCACACATGACACGACCCAATGCAGACACATCCTCATCAGCCTGTAGCAGTATCGCCGAGAGGTGTGAATTACTTTATCCCGCTCAGCGGCCCTATACATGCCCACAGCACAAGCTACGTCACCCCCCTTCTAAGAAAGAAGCAGGAGGATCCCACGTCTATTGCGGCTACCGCTTGCCGGGCTCCTAAGGGGACGGGCTGTGGGACACGCCCCTGCTCCTCCTCCTCCTCCTCTCGCCGTCGATCTGACCGACCTACAGCGAAGGCGTCTCATGTCGCCAGCTCGTCGTTCGGGGCCGGGGGGCGACGGCTTTACACTGGGGGGGGGCAGGGGACCCCCCCCGGTCGCACCCTTCCTTCCCCTCCCGCTGCGTCACCTGCAGCCGGACTGTCCCGCTCCTTGGTCAGCGCCGCGCGCGGGAAGCCGTTGCCGTTAACCGCCGG